CTTTCAGAGAATCAAACACGGCACTTGGGTGGGGTGTTCCTCATTTTCATGTACTGACACCAGAGCTGCCCCTATTGACTTTTACAAATAAAGAAAAATAAGAACAAGAATTACACATATTTCATCATAACTGGCTGAAAGGGGCAGGTTTTCAGTGTGTCACCTTTGCATCGCCACATCTTGCCACTGAATCCTCAGCGTCAGCAATCCTTTGTTCAAGGTAGCCTTTAATACAGAAGCAAGGCCACAGAGGAGGGCATGCCCTACAGTGGTTCTGGAGAATGTGTTTTATGTACAATATATTAAGAAAATGTTAAAGTTCTTTCCAAAACTCGCCAGAGTTATGTAATAGTCTGGCTATAGCCCTGCAAATGTCAGTGAAGGGCAAAAGAGTGGTGAATTAACTCACCCTAAACTTCCAATAAAAACAAGTTCCAAAGTTGTAGTAAAAAAAATCTAAGCAAATATTCTCAAGGACAGAAACTGAGCTACTTGTACTTTACTTAAGAAGCCTATTTCCATTTCCTGTCACTTTATACCTCCAGGAAAATATTGTACTTTTTACTCCTTTACATTTATCTTGACAGGTTTTTGTTACTCGTTATTTTTACAAAGATTTCACATAGTGTAAGGTAGTTCAAATTACCGTAGATCCACCCACTCCATTTACAACAACACAAGCTTGAAGTACAGCAGAACACCCTAAATATTGTTAATTCCCACAGAGAGGTATTGCTGCTATTACTCATGTAAAGGATGTAAATACGTCCTCCACCGCTCTTGATCTCCCTCTCTGTCAAACATAGGCTACACAGATGGAGGGAGAGAGCAGTTGCCTGCAGAAGGGTGAAGGTGCAAAAATAAATAAGTTAATTAATGAATTAGTTAAAAAAAACAGCACAATAACCCACATCGCCAACACAGACATCGTCTTACACACGTCAGAGGCAGCCTGCTATGAATCGAAGTGCACATCGGCGTGAAGGAAACACTTCTTGGGGACACAGCTAGGGGACAGTGGCGATCTCCTGACTCAGAACTGACACTTCCACACATTTACGCACACATCCTGCAAAGCTTCAAGTCCACAGCGCTCTGCAGGGGAGCCTGTAAGCAGGTACTGTAAGCAGACTTTATCCACTTCTGTTCTCGCTTCATCATGCGCTGTCTGTGCTCCCGAAACAATGTGAGCAGGGTGGGTCAACCCGGTGGTAAAGTCAAGAGGCACGTGTTTGTTTTTGAAGTGGGAAAAAGCAAGTTCAAAGCAGCGCCACAGAGACTTCATCTGTGCACAGGCGACTGTTTGCGTGGGTCGGTGTGTGCATATTTAATCGGTGAGTGGGCAGCAATAATTCAGAGTACCGGTTAAGGGAAGGCAGGGGGACGAGAGAGAGAGAAAGGAGAGGACTGTTGGTGACAAGTTTGCATTTGATCAGTTGTACTTCTGGAGGACTGGGGGGATTCCTAAATGATTACTGCTGCTTTGTTTGATGGCGTTTCTTCTGTGAAATATGCGGGATAGAAAGAGTAGAATAAATAAGGCAAATCTAAAAGTAGGCCGTAACTACTGAACAATAGGAAACAGTTGGGTCAAGATGATAGAGAATCGTGTACTGTCCTTTCATATTCCAGTCTTACGCCATATAATGGCTTATATTTTATGAATTATTTAGCCGGTTTGTCTTGCCTCCCCTGCAACCCCCGTCTAAAGAACTCGGTGCGACAGGTAGGGACAGTCCAGGCTCATATACAAAGCCGGCACGTTTCGCTCAGTGTGCCACAGCCGAGCGGTGCTGAGCACCACCTCCAGCATCACCAGCAGCAGATCGGGGAGGGTTTCGGAGCACGGCTGGAGGACCGACGACGCACATCAACAGCGCCAGACCCGACACCAGTCGACAGGCTAATGATGCTCGCTGGCTGGTCGCTGTCCGAGGTGCTGAAAGCCCGCTGACAGGACGTCGCGGTCCCTTTTCCA